ATTATCAGCGTTCTGATGGCATTTTAGCAAAAGGATTTTTATCCAAATCATAATTAATGTAAACAAATAAGGAATAGTTGCATTAGCCATATATGTAAACAGAGTTTTATGGGGCCCCCAAGAACTTGGGGCCCTAGGCAGCTGCCTATTGTTGCCTAATGGATTCTGATGATGTCTGGACCTCTGACCAAGCATGATTGATGTCTGCTGGTTACCAGCTTCCTTCCTCCACAAACTAAAGAGACTTCTTTGTGTTGCGGTGCAGCTCTGTAAGGCTGGTCTCAAGACCCTGCAGGATCTGGGTCCAGAAATGCGTCTGGCTCTGAATGAAGACCTGGAGGAAGGAGAGGAGGTGGAGGAAATGATGGAGGGTGAGGAGTTGGAGAAGAACGCTGGCTATAAGGTGCTCCCCTCTGGTTTGCTGCTCAGTTTTATGAACGTTTGTTGTTTAGAGCAGGTTAAAGCTATGTTCTCATGTGTGTGTCTGCAGACGGAGAATGGATTCGGGGCAGAGAATCGACGTGGTTCCTTACTGACCCCTANTGTGTGTCTGCAGACGGAGAATGGATTCGGGGCAGAGAATCGACGTGGTTCCTTACTGACCCCTATTGGTAAAACACAGCATCACATACTACATTGCATTATGGGGTTTCCTAATGATACTGCCACCCGTGGCTAAAGCACTGTATTCAAATAACAAAAAGGAATTTTAACTCAACCAAAGAAGCAAACTAATTAAACATAATCCTGTCACTTTAAACGCAATATGTAATTCGGGAAATGAATATACAGCGGGTATAGAATGTACTGTAGACCCCTTAGACTCAGATTTCAGCTTCAAAAACCTCCAATGCAGCGATAGAGTTGATTCCTTCCTGCTATTATCGCAACCTCCACCCCTTTACAGGAGAACAGAAGTCCTCACCTATTCAGGCAGGCCAACAATGAAAGTCTCTCTGAGCAAAACTCTTAACTTGCTCAGGGATCCAGAGTGAAGGCTGTGGGAGTGGGGCTTGAACAGAGAACCTCTGGATTCCAAGCTCTCTGCCCTAAACACTAGGCCATCACTCCCAGGCATAACTATTCACATTGTCATAAGTATTCAGACCCCTAGCTCAGTATTGGATAGAAGCAGCTTTTGAGCTATTACAGCCATGAGTTTTCTTGGGAATGACGAAACAAGTCTTTCCCACCTGGATTTGGGGATCCTCTGCCAATCTTCCTTGCAGTGTTGAACGTTGGTGGACGGCCATTTTCAGGTCTCTGCAGAGATGCTCCATTGGGTTTAGGTCTGGGCTCTGGCTGGTTCAGTCAGGAATGGTCACAGAGTTGTTATTCTACCTGTGTGCTTAGGGTCATTGTCTGGTTGGAAGGTGAACTTTCGGCCCAGTCTGAGGTCCTGAGCAGTCTGGAAGGTTTTCTTCCAGGATATCTCTGTACTGTACATTCATCTTGCTTTCAATGGCAACCAGTCGTCCTGTCCCTGCAGCTGAAAATCACCACCATAGCATGATGGAGGCTTTTAGGTCCCGGTCCATAAGTTCTGAAACTCAGAGAAAAAAGTTGCAGACTGTCTTTCTTAACAGCACTTCAGTTATGAGATGTCAACCATCATGACTTAGCCTTGGTCATTCTGTAAAGCTGGGCCTTTTGCCTGAGTCTTGTCATGGGAAAAAAAAAGTATTCAACTATTCATTCCTGTTAAATAAAGAGAGATCAATGGATTTCACTAGATTTTATCTTTGCAAAGAGAAAACAGTTCATCATACGGCCCTTATTGCACGGTAATCAGCCCTGTTCTGTTCTGGCCCTGTTCGTTCCCCCTTACTTACAATAATAGAAAGTAGTCAGAGTCAAAACAAGTTAGAGACTCTTTGGTTAAACAGTAACATGTTATGAATAAACCTTGAGAAATAATCTGTCTTGTTATGGGAATAAGTATGCCTTGTCTACAAACACCCCTCACTCAGCCATTCTGTGGCCTTGCAAGTGAAAAAGACTGAGTGAATAATTTATAGTAAGTAAATAGCACAAATCCATCTATGAAATAAGAGAAATCTTGATTTTCCCACTACGGTCTCCCTGCTGATGTAATTGTAATTTTATTAATTGTAATTTTATTAAGGATCCCCATTAGCTGTTGCCATGGCAAACAGCTAGTCTTCCTGGGGTCCACATTAAAAACATACAGTAAAAACAGTTACAAATATAAAAATTTCCAAAAATGTAATTTCTTAAAATTACTATAGGATGTACAAAAGAACAAGTAATGTCCTCTTCCAATGTGAACCCCTGTAGATGAAGGATGTCTACCAGAACCAGGACACTTTGGATTCTGGTCTGACATCCACTGAGGTCCAAACAAACCAGATAATTGAATCAATANATGTGTGTGTCTGCAGACGGAGAATGGATTCGGGGCAGAGAATCGACGTGGTTCCTTACTGACCCCTACTGGTAAAACACAGCATCACATACTACTGCTTCACAGTGTTGATGTCAAAGATGCATTATGGGGTTTCCTAGTGATACTGCCACCCGTGGCTAAAGCACTGTATTCAAATAACAAAAAGGAATTTTAACTCAACCAAAGAAGCAAACTAATTCAACATAATCCTGTCACTTTAAACGCAATATGTAATTAGGGAAATGAATATACAGCGGGTATGGAATGTACTGTAGACCCCTTAGACTCAGATTTCAGCTTTGAAAAACCTCCAATGCAGCGATAGAGTTGATTCCTTCCCGCTATCATCGCAGCTCCAACCTCTTTACAGGAGAACAGAAGACCTCACCTATTCAGACAGGCCAACAATGAAAGTCTCTCTGAGCAAAACTCTTAACTTGCTCAGGGATCCAGAGTGAAGGCTGTGGGAGTGGGGCTTGAACACAGAACTTCTGGATTCCAAGCTCTATGCCCTAAACACTAGGCCATCACTCCCAGGCATAACTATTCACATTGTCATAAGTATTCAGACCCTTGCTCAGTATTAGATAGAAGCACCTTTTGAGCTATTACAGCCATGAGTTTTCTTGGTAATGATGAAACAAGTTTTTCCCACCTGGATTTGGGGATCCTCTGCCAATATTCCTTGCAGTGTTGAGCGTTAGTGAACGGCCATTTTCAGGTCTCTGCAGAGATGCTCCATTGGGTTTAGGTCAGGGCTCTGGCTGGTTCAGCCAGGAATGGTCAGAGTTGTAATTCTACCTGTGTGCTTAGGGTCATTGTCTGGTTGGAAGGTGAACTTTGGCCCAGTCTGAGGTCCTGAGCTTTCTGGAAGAGGTTTTCTTCTAGGATATCTCTGTACTCTGTACATTCATCTTGCTTTCAATGGCAACCAGTCGTCCTGTCCCTGCAGCTGAAAATCACCCCCATAGCATGATGGAGGTTTTAGTACCTCCAGCCCAGGTTTATAAGTTCTGAAACTCAGAGAAAAGTGTTGCAGACTGTCTTTCTTAACAGCACTTCAGTTATGAGATGTCAACCATCATGACTTAGTCTTGGTCATTCTGTAAAGCTGGGCCTTTTGCCTGAGTCTTGTCATGGGAAAAAAAAAGTATTCAACTATTCATTCCAGTTAAATAAACAGAGATAAATGGGTTTCACTAGATTTTATCTTTGCAAAGAGAAATCAGTTCATTATACAGCACAGTAATCAGCCCTGTTCTGTTCTGGCCCTGTTCGTTCCCCCTTACTTACAATAATAGAAAATAGTCAGAGTCAAAACAAGTTAGAGACTCTTTGGTTAAACAGTAACATGTTATGAATAAACCTTGAGAAAAAATCTGTCTTGTTATGGGAATAAGTCTGCCTTGTCTACAAACACCCCTCACTCAGCCATTCTGTGGACTTGCAAGTGAAAATTTTCCCACTACGGTCTCCATGCTGATGTCCTCTTCCAATGTGAATCCCTGTAGATGAAGGATGTCTACCAGAACCAGGACACTTTGGATTCTGGTCTGACATCCACTGAGGTCCAAACAAACCAGATAATTGAATCAATAGATTTAGAAAAGTAGAAAATAGGAGAAATAAGAGTAACTTTGATTAGAAACAGAAGAGGGCAGCAGAGACTGGGTTCGCTACTGACAGCGATTGGGCTTCTCTCTGTAGGTGACGGTGGCATTTCTAATGGCAGTCTTATCCACCGAGTTGGCTCCCTCACCAAGATGGCGAATGGAAATGAACGCGACGAGGATCTTCGCCGTGGAGACAGTATGAGGTCATCAGCCAGTCGACATCGCCGGCTGTCCTTAAAGAACGGCCTGCCAGACCACACCCAAAACCGACCGGCGTACTACAAATATGGAAGGTGTGTCATCACGCAGTCAAAGTTTAGCCCTGTCCCAATTCCTCACCCTACGCCCCTTGATGACGCGTGCTGAAGACCTGCTGAAGAGCACTAAGGGTACAAGTGTGGAGGTTGTAAACCTGTTCTGTTGGTCTGCAGGAGAGACTCCTGGAGGAATGGAGACGTGGACGTTTACGGAGAGCACGGTTACTACAGCCGAGAGGAAGACAACGAGAGCGTCACTTCCAGAGACAGGTATGCTCAGAAATAAAAGCAGCCCAGTGGGGGTGGGGGGGTGGGGTTGGATCTGTAAATCTGATTTTTTTTGGGTCATAACATCTAGAATCATATGTTGCAGCTAATATACGCAGCGGTTGAAATAAGAATAATTGACTTTACCATTGAGTTCCGTCCCAGTGTTCACGGGGACGGACCCGACTTTACACGAGTGAATCAAGTGAATGTGATTGGTCGGTTATCAACGGGGCGGGATTGTTGTCATGGAAGGTTCACAAGCAAGTTTAGTTGTGACCGGTGTCTCGGAAGCATCTAGCTAACCAGTTAGCATCTTAGTGCTAGTAGGTAGAACACTGGAACGGAGCTCAATGAGAAAGAAAATGATTCCGATTTCTTATTTTGGCCGTTGCGTATATTAGCTGCGTCATATGAATCAAGATGCTATGACCCAAAAAATTTGATTGATAGATGACGTTGATATATGATTGGCCGAATTTAGGTCTTCAGGCTGACGTAGAACTAACTGTATACTAACTGTATATAGATAAAATTAATCAGGAAGGGAAAGTCGAGTTTACAGCAGGTAACTAAAGAGGTCGTCACTGAAAACATAAAAGAATAGAATCGCCAACCATTTGTTTACAGACATTACCCTGATGACTCCCACTACGGAGACCTCCAGGACGACCACGGCCCGTACACCAACGGTAGTTATGGTGACGGTTACAGCGAGGGCAGGAGGACAACTCGACGCCGTTTGCTTCCTGCCACGCCCATGGGTAAGACGATGACTGGCAGCTGGTCACTGTGACATCACACCCAGTTGACACAGTCTGTCTTTGCTGATCAGGTCGGAAACCGTCCTTCAACATCCAGTGTCTGAGGCGGCAGGGCAGCAGTGATGACCTGCCGATTCCTGGGACCTACCACCCAACATCCCCACCACGCCGCTCGCGACCTCAGGTATCCTATCGCATAGCCGGTGTTCTGTCAGACCAGCGTACCTATAGTCTATACGCATCCCTTTAGTTTTGTACAAAAAATAGACTTTAAACTACCTCAACGGGGTGTTTCCCTTTGGTCATGAACAAAAATAACTATTTAAGGTCAGATTGCCATACGCTTCTAAAAACAACAAAAACTAGGTAATGAAATTGCTTTTTTGTAGATGACTAAAGGGATACACGCCCGTTGAGGTAGTTAAAAGTTTAATTTTCGTTCAAAACTAAATAAATAAAGTAAAGGGATAAACGGGTATTGATGTGCTCATCTGACAGAACACGGCCAGACACATGCCCACCTGTTCCTCAGGTAATCTTTGCTCTCCTCAGCAGGCTTTGGGCAGCTACGACTCCCGGCATTCCTCAGGACGGTCTGCAGCGGCGGCATCGGTGTCCTGGGCCAAGCCGTGTCCTCGCCGGGGACGCCTGCTCTACGCTCCGCTCATCCTGGTGGAGGAGGAGGGCAGCCCACCGTGGGGAGGAGGGCTGCACCCGGAGGGTAAGAACGGTGGACCAGTCAGAGGTGAGGAGGCAATGTTTCAGAGTAAAAGCTTGTTTTATTGTGAAAGGTGTAGCTCATGTTGCTTCCTGTGATTCCGTCAGGAGTGGGAGAGGGAGCGCCATGGTACGGTGGCCCTGCTGGAACATCGGGTGAGAATAAATACAGACACTCCTCTTCCTCACCGGGACATTTAATGTCTGAGCTTGTCTAATCAGGTCATATAACCTTGCTTCTAGCTCCGCCCCCTTACAGAGCGTACACCACCCTGCGTGTTCCCTCTCAGCTCGGCGCCCCATTCGCAGATAAACGAGGGTCAGCGGACAGCCTGGTGGAGGCGGTGAGTGACCATGAACGCTCACTTTTCTGATCCGATGAAACCGATGGTCTCAGTTCTGTTCTGGTCTTTCTTCAGGTTCTGATCTCAGAGGGGCTCGGCCTGTACGCCCGGGATCCAAAGTTTGTTGCGTTTGCCAAGCGCGAAATTGCAGACGCGTGTCACATGACGGTGGATGAGATGGAGTCGGCCGCCAGCGACCTACTCAGCTCCGGGAGCCATGACTTCCTGAACACCATTGCCGACGACCCCGCCGCACTCTACAGCGATGAGGAGCCAATCAGAACAAGCCGCGAGGAGGAGGAGCTAGCCGACGAAATGGCCTGCGTGACAACATTCTGAGGATCCAGGGGGCGGAGCATCCAAGAGCAACAAAGCTTTCAGCTGGCCAATGAGAGAGAAGAGGCGGGGCTTTTTCTGGGTGCAGATTAATAGGAGAGTCTTGTTCTTTTAAAGATCAAAAAGAAAAGGAAACCAAAACAGGAAGTAAGAAATTTAAGCAACTTGGGAGGGAGAAAGCAGAAAGCTAGTGGTTAGAGAGAAGGTTGCAAGTACCCGGTTTGATTCCCACAGCCTGCACTCTGGGTTCCTGAGCAAGACCGTTAAGCCCACACTGCTCGCCGGGCGCCGCACAATGGCAGCCGACTGCTCCAGAGGGGGATGGGTCAAAACGCAGAGAACGATTTTCCCCTATAGTGGGACAATAAAGGGATTTACATTACATTAAATATTTCTGTATCTGGTTTGAAAAGTCACTGGAAGTCCAAAAACAGCGATCACATTTAGCTAACGCTAACTGGAGCCGACTCGGTGAGGGAGCTGCGTGGCGACTGGTTGTCATGGTGACTCCCTCCTTCCCTGATGGAGGCCTGGGTGCTGCTGAAGCACCAAACCGTCGCTGTGTGGAAACGGAGCATCGTCACCTGGTGGCCTCACATCCAGATGTTTCTCCATGAGCTCCGTACGACAGATCGGATTAACGGGGAATAAGAGTGTGGGCGTGTCTCTGTGAACTCTGGGCTCTGATTGGACGGCAACCTGTAAGTCCTTCAGCAAAGGGCAACAGAGGCGACTACAACTAGACAGTTAAAGAGTTTAATCCTAAAAGCTTTAGGACCACCTTCACATCTCAAGCACAACATTCTGAGGGAAAACGTGAGAAAGAAAAGTTAAAACCTGGCAGTGACTGCGGTGAAACTGGAGGAGGGATCAGCGGGATGACCGGGTCCAGAATAATCCGAGGTCTGTGACCCGTTTAAACTTTGAATAGTGATTCAAAATGTCAGAAACGTCAGCAATGAGAGGAAACCTGAGCTTTGGAATTCACTAAAACTGGAGGAAATGTTTGTTTTTGGTCATTTTTCTAAGTTTTACTGTAAACCGTTTGGACATAAAAAATTCACGGGTCGTTCCCTACGGAGGCGCTCGGTTCGTTATCAGACACTGTGAGCAGAAAACTGTGAAAAGGTAAATCATTGAAATGCAGCTGGAGGTTAAAGTCGGGGATTAAGAGCTGGAAAACGCTGATAGATGGCCGCTCGCTCGGAGAACTATTAATTAATCTGTTCTCAGATTTAAATTCAGCTGCGGTTAGATCCTGTTCATGTGTTTCTGACTGAAAGAAAAGACTTTTATTGGAAAATTATATGGGGCTCAGTTTGTAAAGTAAGGAAGTCACAAATTAGGAGCATTATTATATAGGTTATTTAGAATGTTTTAAAAGAAAATAAGGCGGTTATTTTTTCCCAAGTGCTTTTATTCACAGTGTAAATTATTTATTAACATCTTACCTTGTTAAATATTAAGTTTGGAGCTGATTATTTATTTAAAGCTACAGTGTGTAATTTTCAGTGACATCTAGCGGTCAGACTGCAGACCGCAGCAACATGAACATCTCCCCCCCCACCGCTTCTCCCCCTCAACAGTACGGCGAGCGTTACGGGACAAAATGTCTTCCACGACGTCCGCATCACCTACCTTCTCAAGTGATGAGGT